GGGTGGCTGGGGGGGCGGATTTTAAAAGGGACTGTTTTGTTTGAATATCAGGGGGTGGGGGGGTTAGGGCGAAGGGCCGATGACAGTCCCCAACAGGGCAGTGACAGGCATCAAGGTGCAGGCCGGGGCTCCCCGGCTGGGGTCCCCTTGTGCTGTTAACAGAGCTCAGGGTTAGGAAAACAGACGGCGGGAGAGATGAAGATGATTATGAGGGCCATTTACGCGGCCGCGGCGACGGCGGCACCGTGTAAGCTTGGTGAAGGAGGATGGGGGATGGTCGCCATGCGTTATCAGCCGTCGCATTTCACTGCGCATGTGGCAGAAAAATGCGCATGGGGGCAACTTTAGCTCTCGCACTATAAATGTGCTTCTGCTGACCGTTATATTTTCCATTTTAATAATGACAACAAAAAGAGCAAAAACACCCATCAGAAACACAGGTAGCAGAAAATATCTTCGTAAAGTTTGTAATGCAGGGCGTTATTGAAGTATTAATTATAAGGACATTATAAAACAAAAAGCAACTTACGACTGCGATCTGTTCCGACTGACCAGTTGTAAGTGGATTTGGTCGTAATTGGCCCTTTATTTTATGGGCAAAAATTATCATGTGTATAGTATACTGTATAATAAAATTATATCATCTTTAAGTCATATTGTTTGGGGTGTTTTTAACCTTTTTGCCACCGTTTTGTTAGTTCATTATTGTTACACAAACAGATACAAATGTACACTGTAGCCTGAGCACGAGATGGAGGAATGAGCGTCTGGCGGGGATGCTCACGCTGCCGGCCATTGGGGCAGACACTGTCATACTGTCACACGGGGCAACGCACTGCACGTGCGGGTTAGGGTTAGGGTTAGGGTTAGGGTTAGTGCAGTGCAGTCCTGGTCACGTACCTGCTTTCTTGGAACAGTTTTTAAGTCGATCAGTCGTAAGTCACATACAACCGCAGTTGACGATAACCTGTAGTATTTTTTAACTGTCGCATTTTGCCGCGCTACATTGTTATTTGTAAAAAATAAATAGTTACAATGCTTTAAAAGTAGCACTGGCACTAATAAGCGTCTGAAAAAGTAGTTAAGGTAATAGCGTCACTAATCGTAGTTAGCTACTCCCCAACACTGCATGCAAAAGTAGTTCTGTACTGTTGGATATGCTTTGGGAATGTACTTGGAGAGTGTGTGGGGGGGGGGGGGGGGGACCCCGGAATGTTCCACAGCATGGAGGCGAGCACCGGGGCCGCAGTGCCCATTCCCCCTGAGAGACTGTCGCTGACACCCAGAGCTGGTGAAATGCAGTGGGAAGGGCTTGGGGTGTGGGGATGAGGGGGGGGGGGACCAGAGGGCATGCCGGGGGGGGCAGATGCACGGGTGTTTAATTGCCTGAACAGAGCCAGGGGGGCTACACAAATGGCTGGGAGGTGAAGAGGTTAGGCTCATAATTCTGCAGCGTGCAGATAAATCAGAAGCGTCCAGTAGCACTGCGGCCAACACTGGCCACCTGATGTTTCCTCTACAAACACAAGTGTCCCATCCCCCGGACACGGCACCCGAGCAGGGCCACCGTGCGCTGGAGGGTCGGGCCGCCGAGAGGGCATTCACACCTTGTTAAGTTTTACAGCCCCCGCATTTGTCGCCCCCTCACTCCTCTATTACCCCTTTGACTGGGTCACCCCCCTTTGATGTACATGTCTCTCTCTGAGTGGAGGCTTTGGGAAAGCCAGCCACGTCACGATTTCCCTTATGGGACCGAGTAAATGAAACAGTCGCATCATTGTGTCACTATATATTAGCATTGTGCTTAACGTCAGTTGACGCAAATTATCGCAGCACTGTTTGTGGCGTCACGGTGGAAATTTTGCATATCGTGCAAAACGTGATGGCCCAGAAGCCACCAGCGGTGAACCTTTTGCACCGCTCGGGGTCAGAGGCACTGGTGAAACGGTCCCGTGTAAGAGGTGATCACAGCCACCCCCCCTCCCCCCCCCCCTGCTTAGGAGACTACGTCGGAGGTGCCTACCGTGGGGTTTCTTTTGTTCGCGGATTCTTCACCCTTTACCTGTACATCATAGGCTTTCGTAAATGGCACGACGGAATGCAGAATCAAGGAAGAACCAGTGAGCTTTCGGAGCAGGAGGAGACTTAACGCATAATGCCTGACTTCGGGGGGGGTGGATGAAAGGGCTGCCGTGTCCATAGGTGAAAGTATGAGTTACAAAAACAGCAGGTTTGACGGGGCGTTTACAGCGTGCTCGGGCCGTGGCTGTGACGAGCCGCCCGTGCGCATCCCAGAGCTCAGCTGTCAAAATGCCTTTTCAGTTGAGTCAGGTTCAGCGAGAAGCCGCTTCGCCTCGGCCCTCTTTGCTCTGAAGGTGTTCCCGACAGGGCGCTCCGATCAAGTTTCTCCCCGGACAGTCCCTGGAATTGAAAGAAACCAAATTCCTGTCGTGTAAGCAAAAAAAATGGCTATAATTTTGGTAATTGCTTTTTCTTGTCACATGGTGAAGAAAATGGGGGGGGGGGGGCTGCAGTGAATGGC